TCTATACTTTTTTCTCCCTGGTTACTTCAAAGTCTAGAATGTGGATAGGGTGTACTGTAAGGTTTAGGGACGTTTGGGGTATCGGCAGCAGAGGCGGTTACTGTCTGCTAGACGCTACAAACACGCCCGGATGTATCAGACCGATCATCACAGTTGTCTGGCTTTTTTAGAGCCCGAGACATGGGGTCTTGCAACCGTTATGTGTCTGACCGTGGTTTAGGGTTTAGGGTCTAGGGCCTTTGGGTTTAGGGTTTAGTCGCAAGCGTTGCATCGTGATTCGGGCTCGGCCACAAACAAACCCTGCTCCAGCTGAAAGGCACTAGCTAGTAGTACCATTGCCCAACTTCCGGAGCAAAATCAAACTCAGCAGTAAGCACGACGACAACCCCCGCCAGCTATGGCAAACGCTACAGAATTCTTCGATTGAGTTGGGACTGCCCTAAACCCTAAACCTGTACACCTTTCGATTAGAGTCGTATTAATTTCGCAGTTGGACTTGTTTGCATGAAATGCTCTGAACAGGGATGTAGTATGGGGGGCCTAAAATATACCAAAACTATTTTGGGGGTTCCTGATTATAGTTATGGTATAATCTCCCCCAAAAATTTTACTCTAATTATTCAGGCCCCTACACTAAGCCGTAACACTAATCACTAAGCCCTCCCTCGACCTGGCATCCGAGATCGAAGCTTCAGCTGGGAATTTCTCTTCGGGACTTGCCCCTTAACCCTTAAACCCCTATACCCAAAAACCTGTGAACCCTGAACCCCTTCAGGTTATCCCAAGGGGTCCAAAGTACCTATATGGTAAGAATGTAGGGCTTCTACATTCGGAATCCTTATGGTGATTTGGGAAAGTACGCCCTACAACAGTACCTAGGGCCCTTTGGGTACTAGGATTTGTGTACGAGGTTTAGGGCTCGACTGCTTGAAGCCGGAAACAGGAGTCTCAAGAATGTTTGAGTTTTGCTGTCAATCATCCCGTGAAACTCTAAAAGGAGGTTTCGGGCCTTTAGGGTTTAGGGTTTAGGCTCAGTGTGCACCGTCAATGCGATCTTCCATACCCAGGTCTGTGAGCGAGACGTTTCCCGAAGTTTAAGATCATGGTGAGACATTGCGATCGGAAACCTAAACCCTATACCCCGAAACCCTTCAACCCTAGTGGTATTCACACGACACACGTACAAGTCGAAAGGCATTGGGATTAAGTAGGTCTTTGGGACAGTTGGTATTTGCCCTTATTGGGCCTATAAGAGGACCTGACTTGCGAAGATTTGTTTAAAAGCTTCAAAGGGCCAACCTACTGTTTATTTTATAAATCCTGCATTACCTCAAGGACCCTTAGCTATAGGAATGATGGTATATTTCCTATTACAGGTAATGCAGGATGTATATCATCAAACCTAGCAATCTCCAATCAGACCGGTCTGAAGCACTAGCTGTCATACTGTAGGCGCTTTAAAAATTAGAATACCAGACCCTATTCTGATCATTAAGGCCCCTATGATACTCCCTTCTAATCATAGTCCCTATGGATAAAATCGGAAAGCCTGGTCCTATTTGTCGGGTGCTTACCCCTAAACCCTAAACCCCATACCCTAAGCCCGAAACCCTATACCCTCAACCATATACCCTAAATAAACCCTAAACCCTGAGCCCGAAACCCTAAACCCTGAACCCTGAACCCTGAACCCTAAACCCTGAACCTTAAACCCCTGAACCTTACCATGAACCCTAAACTGAAATCCGAAACTCGAAGATCCTGGCGCCCATACACCCGAAAGCCCGAAAGCCCAAACCCTAGACCCGGTACCCTCAGACCATAAGGCTGAGGGTCCATGCACCCAAATAGTATATACTTTGGCCTTAAAGTAGGCCCGGTTTAGGGTTTAGGGTTTAGGGTTTAGGGTTTAGGGCCTATACAGGTGCTTTGGGGCCTGAGTATATACTATTTGGGTACATGGACCCTTAGGGATAAGACCCCAAACCCTGAACCACTGAAGTAACAACTGTGGCATCGCATGTACTATACTCACTAACCCTTAGAGTAATTAACCTGTATATCGTATGTGCTATAAAGTAGCCTTTACTTTGTCATAGTTGGGCCTAGTTGGGTAACATTTTACATTTTTAAGGGTACTTAAACCCAATAAGGAATATAAATTTAAATTCTTGATACTACCCCAACCATGAACTAGTTTATAGTCACCCCAAGCCGGCACCGCCGCGAGGTCATGAGGCTCTTCATCGCCTTTTTACTTGCAGGGGCCCTGGCTTTGCAATCGAGCGTTTTAGAGTCGAGAGTTTAGTGGGTTTAGTGGGTTTAGGGTTTAGGGTTTAGGGTGCTTCTGGAGGAAATGCTGAAATATAGGGGTATGAGTAACTGGCGATTTTATTCCTAGAGACTGTTACTACAATACTAATGCCTTCTGCGCGTAGAGTTGAATCTTGGTGCCCTTGCGAGCCACTGTAGATTCTTGTTAAAGATAGGGTCGAGACCCTAAAGCAAGATCCCTAAACCCTAAACCGAAGTGGGGGTGAGTCAAACACGTCCTTGTTGTTTCGGTGCCGAAGGTGCTGGAGCTCAGGGCCCCAGGCTTTGAGGTGTTCGAAGATCCGGTTGGGTTTAGGGTTTAGGGGTGTAGGGGCTAATTAGGGGTTTAGGGTTTAGGGCCGTTTAGGGGTTTGGGGTTTAGGGTGTAGGGGTTTAGGGGTTTAGAATTTCATGTTGAGGCCACAGCCTGGGAGCTGTAAATGCAAACTCGCAGTCGCCCTGAATTAATCTGTAAGCCATTTTGGCTCAAGTTGGCTCACGTGCTTGTTTGAGTCAAAGGCTTCCTGGGCACACAGTGTCGGAATTGTGTTGGCCCCTGTGTCTTGTTGCGCTCTTTTCTTCGGGCTGCTGTGATGTCCGAGACTGAGCAATCTTCTAGCCATTCTAGCCATGGTGCTACAGACGAGGCTCTGGTCTTGGCAGCTTCAGCAGAGGGAAAATGGCAACAGCTCCCGGAGTCGATGCGACGGGATCTCGGCCAAACCATGCCTGACGCAGAGACCCTGTGCAACCTTTGTTTGGATGTTTCAGAGTGGCGTGGGCTCATTGCATCTTTCGCTGCTGCTGCAGCTGAGCTCGGTCGGAGCGTGCGGGTGATTCAAGCATTGCTGGCTCAGGGCAGCAGTTACACGTTGGCGTGGGAAGTTCGCGGACATATTGGCAGACGCCTCTGCTCCTGCTCTTCGTGATGTCCCCGCTCACATGGCTCGCCGATGGGCTTTGAAGTTGGCAGGAAGTTCTCGGAGCCGCACCTTGAAGAAACAAATCCAGATGTGGCAACGTTATGCTAAGTGGCTTTTGGCTTCCTTTCAGGTTTCTTGGCCTTCCTCTGAGCAGATGGTTGTCGACTTCATTGATGAGCTAGGAGAACAGCCTTGTGGTCGCACTGTCCCAGCAGCGTTTCTGGCAACTTTGGCCTTCTTCGAACGTGCAGCAGACATTCCGGTCGACCATCGCTTGTCTCGTCGATCGATTATTACCAAGGCAATTGACCAACTGTCGTATTTCTTGGATATGGATGCAGAGCCTCCTCGGAAAGCCAGACCCCAGCCATGAATGCTTATTCTGGCGTTAGAGCTTTGTGTGTTGCATGAAGATGCTTCGCGTTACTGACGAGCCTTGGCGTGGGCCAAGCTTGTCAAATTTTGGTCTTCCTCTCGCTGTGATGACTTGCTTGGGTTGGTTCCCTCCAAAATGGAACTTGATTCGCAGGGCTTGAGGGCTCTTCTAGGCCAGACGAAGTCTTCTGGTCATGGAAAGAAAGTCCGTCGGTTACCGGTTTTGATGGATGTGGGGGCCTCTTTCTCAGGTCTTCCTTGGCTTCAGGCTGGATTTGAGATTTGGCAAAGTGAAGACTTCAATTTTGAGCGTGACTTCTTGCTCCCTTTGCCCTCACGCGATTGGTCTTCTTGTTGTCGACACATGGCCGACTACGCTGCTGTCTCCGCCGTCACCAAGATTCTGTACCAACAGCTCCGGGCTCCTGGGTGGCAGCGGGGTGGCTGGTACCTGCGAGACATTCCGCTCTTGTGTGTTTCATCTTCACCCCGGGCATGGACAGAGCATAGCGAGCGTTGTTGGCTCATCAGTGCCGCAGTTCTGCTAGAGATTGACGATGACCAGTGCAAATTCCTGGGGAGGTTTCGCGTGTCAGCAAGTCACCATGAATACATTCGGACAGCCGCCCGGGCTGTTGGCCAAGTGCAGCGCAAAGTTGTGCAAACTGCCGGGTCCGACAATGCTTTGGCGGGGATTGGCCTCAAGGAGCTGGAACTTTTCCTGCGCCAAGCAGGTCATAGTGATTCCGTGATCAATGAACAGCTTGATCTGCTTTCTTTTCCAACTTGGGATGTGTCTCCACCGATGTCAGTGCTGGATGCAGGGACCCCTGTTTTTCTTGCAGACGGTGAGACACCTTTGGATGTTGAGTCAGAGGAGCCGGTGTCGTTCAAGTATTTTGATTGCATTTCCAGGAACCGGAGATTTCAACGATTGCACCGGTGGGGGGCATGCGGCTCAAATCCCAACTTCAACATCTCGGAGTTCGAGGGATTTGACTCCCTTGATGGCTTGCAATATGACAGTGCTTGCAAGCATTTCTGGCCGGGCGGCGTTCAGCAAGACGATGGCGCGGCTTCAGATTCCTCTGTTAGCACGGATGCTAGTCTCCATACCTAAAGCGTCGGCAGCCATGCCTGCCAGTTACAGGTAGGGGCCATCGGTCTTCTTGACTGTGCGTTCTGGGCTTTGCTTTTAGTTCTGAAGCACCCGAAAACCCTGAAACCCCTACCCAAGACCCCAAATCCTAACCCATAAGCCCTGAACCCTAATCCTTAAACCCAAGACTTTAGACCCTAAACCCTAATCCCTAAACCCTAAATCCTAATCCCTAAACTCCTAGGCCCGATAGACCCTGAACCCTTAGCTGAGCCCCCCGTCCTGCCGAGGTGGCAGTGAGCGCCTTCGCTGTCTCCCTCGAAGATGCTGCAGCGACTGGTCTGCCCTAATATAGGGGCCAAAATAGTTACCGGTACTATTTGGGGGGTTCCTCAGTACAGCTACAGTACAACAAACCTAACATAGGGGCCTAAATAATTAAGCCGGGACGATTTGGGGGGTTTTTGAGTACAATTATAACATAATAAACCCCTAAAACCCTAGTCTAACTACTAAGGCCTCTACGTGAAACTCCTTGTTTGTCCATAGCACGGTTTGGGAAAGGTTTCGGCGAGGCTTCATGTTTGGTTCAGGCTTAGTTGAGTGGTGCTTTCAGTCAGAAAGGAAGACCCTAAAGAAGATCTCAAACCCTTTTCCTAAAGCCTCAAAGGCCCTAAAACTAGCGAATAGTTGCTTGCTCACAGACTCCCAGCTTTCAACAGCATTCGGGTTTGCATCGTAGAGCCCGGGTAGTTGAAACTCGAGGCTACAGCATGAGGGCGTAGCCTAAAGCTTGAAGTATCACCATCTTTGCACAAGGGTTCCTTACAGAGTTCCTGCGAAGTCAATATGGGCCTGCACAAGTATTGCACCGAACACGGTTCATTGTTTCTTAAAATGAACTGTTTGTAGAATAGCCTGGACTCTGAGCCTTAAACCCTAAACCTTACAAGCCCTAAACCTTCATCCTTAAACCCTAAACCTTAAACCCTCAACCCTAAAACCTTACAACCTTGAACCTTGAACCTTAACCCCAAGGTAAGGGTTCCTATAACCAAAAAGAAAATAGCCGGAAGATCGACATGCCAAGGATCGAAGAGTCAGACGCAGCGTTTTAGGGTTAAGGGTTTAAGGTTCAGGGTTGAAGGTTCAGGGTATACTTGAAGTCCTGGAGCCTAGGTTTTTGGTGTAAGGCCCACAAAAAGAGTGTATACTGCTTGTAGAGGCGTAGGTTCTGCAGTGCGCATGGAGGGGTCAGGAGGTGGTTTGAAGTGTCTGCCTGTGAAAGTTCAAAGCCGAGCCCCAAATTTCAAATGTGCAGTCCAGCAGCAGCTTGCAGCACCTGTCATGGATAATGCGAGGGGTTTAGTGTGTTTAGGGTTGGGATTTGAGGATAATATAGGAGCTTAAACAATTACCAATACTATTTTGGGGGTTGCTTACTATAAATATTCCTCACTATCAACATAGTATAATGGGCCCCAACACCCTATGCTAATTATTAAGGCCCCTATTAGTTGGACAAACAACCCTAATACCCTACAGCCCAAAACTTTGAACCCTCCTCCGCCCCCAAAGCCCTAAAGTTTAAACCCTCCGCCCTAAAAACCTCAAGCCCTGAAGCCTTAAACCCTAAACCCTACACTCTAAAACCCTAGAATGCTTCGCCCGAATCTCTGTCTTAACCCTCGAAGGTCATTGTGGATGCTGTGGGCCAGCTGCTCTCAGATGCACTGACGGGCGAGGCCTGTCAGAAAGAAAACTTAAGACCACTACCTCAGGCCCTACTGAACCCGAAACAGCATCACTTAAAGGGGGCTTTACCCTAAACCTGAAACCCCAAACTCAAAACCCTGAACTCTAAAGCCTATAAACCCTAGACCACTATGGGGGCTTTGATTACCTACACTATTCTGGGGGTTCCTCCTTATTATAAATATAGTAACATGGGCCCCAAAACCCCATTCTAATTATTAAGGCCCCTACGCCACACCCGGAAAGCCTCCCCCGCCCTAAGCCCCAAAATATGAGGAAGTTTCCGAAAGTTAGGGGTACCTTATTTTGGGAGTCCTTATCATAAGGATCCTACTACTTTGGGTAGTATATTAGGGTCCCCTACTTTCGGAAACCCCCATAAGGCACTGGGTCGAAGGCACCCTAAACCCTGTAAACCCTAAGCCCTAAACCCTAATCCCTAAACCCTAAACCCAAAACATGAGGCACTGGGTCGAAGGCACCCTAAACCCTATAGACCCTAAGCCCTAAACCCTAAACCCTAAACCTTAAACCTTAAACCCGAATCCCTAAACCCCTAAACCCAAAACATGAGGCACTGGGTCGAAGGCGGAGGGTCGTAAGAAGAAGGGAGAGCTGCGGGGCTTGGAGACGGAGGGATCAGGGATTAGGATCTCTGGGGTTTAGGGTTTAGGGGTT